AACCTGAGATTCTAAAGCACTACAACAAGCCATGGTGCTTGGTAACACCCCACGCTAACTCCCAGAGCTTAGGATAGGTATGACCGCAGGTGACCACTGACCTCAGTTTGACATTGTTCAGCCATCACTATCATTTAGTTTGACAATATTCAGCCATCACTATCACTTAGTTTGACATTGTTCAGCCATCACAATCACTTAGTTTGACATTGATGTTCATTGTTGCCTCAAGAGGTAGCGTGTTCACCTCTTAGCTGGAGGACCCGGGTGGATTGCATTCATGGGGAGCGCTAAACCCCTAGGGGTCAGGACCCTGGTGGAATATTGCCAGGGAAGAGGCATACGTTCGTGTCTGACATTTATTGCCTGTTAGTAATGGATATCTAGGAATTAGTGGAATCTTGAGGGTCGCATTGTAGGAGGTTACGGGTCGCATTCTGTCTGAGGTTGTGAGTCACATTCTGTCGGAGGTTGTCGGTCATATTCTGTCGGAGGTTGTGAGTCACATTCTGTCGGAGGTTGTGAGTTACATTCTGTCGGAGGTTGTGGGTCGCATTCTGTTAGAGGTTGTGGGTCACATTCTGTTGGAGGTTGTGGGTCACATTCTGTCGGAGGTTGTGGGTTACATTCTGTTGAAGGTTGTGGGTCACATTCTGTTGAAGGTTGTGGGTTACATTCTGTTGGAGGTTGTGGGTCACATTCTGTTGAAGGTTGTGCATCATATCCTGATGGAGGTTGTGCGTCACATCCTGGTGGAGGTTGTGGGTCACATTTTGGAGGTTGTGAGTCACATCCTGGTGGAGGTTGTGGGTCACATCCTGGTGGAGGTTGTGCATCATATCCTGATGGAGGTTGTGCGTCACATCCTGGTGGAGGTTGTGGGTCACATTTTGGAGGCTGTGAGCCACATCCTGGTGGAGGTTGTGGGTCACATCCTGGTAGTGGGTCACATCCTGGTGGAGATTGTGGGTCACATCCTGGTGGAGGTTGTGGGTCACATCCTGGTGGAGGTTGTGGGTCACATCCTGGTGGAGATTGTGGGTCACATCCTGGTGGAGGTTGTGGGTCACATCCTGGTGGAGGTTGTGGGTCACATCCTGGAGGTTGTGGGTTACATCCTGGCGGAGGTTGTGGGTCACATCCTGGCGGAGGTTGTGGGTCACATCCTGGTGGAGGTTGTGGGTCACATCCTGGTGGTTGTGGGTCACATCCTGGAGGTTGTGCGTCACATCCTGGTGGAGGATGTAAGAACGCCTCAGAAGAAATAAATAGGTTATTAATTTTCACTAGTTAATAAATCAGGTTTGCCCCATCGAAAGGGTAGTTCCACTTCCTTTGATCAAGAGTTCTCTTCTAGCGTTGAGATATCCCCCTTACGTGTAGGGATTACATTTATTTGCACAATCCACAGGCTTCGGTTTTTGACATTTATGTTCGCCTTCGTTATGTACTAAACCAGAAAGGGTCATACAGCGTACAGTTTTGATGTTCATAAATGAATGACTGGGAAGAAATTTGGTGTCGTATTGTAGCTACGATGAAACAACCTATCATAGTCATACAGTGCCGCCTTTGTTACATTCATGGGGGAGCACTAAACCCTTTACGGGTCATACAGCGCCTAAGGAAAGGCAAGGCATTCAGATTCGATTCAAAGAACTGGAACACAGATTCAGTTCCTTAGATCAAGAGCCCATTACCAACAACAAGCAGCCTCCCCTGTGGGGACGGGGGGGGGGCTTTGTCAAAAAGAAATGCTCAACAATTATTGATCATACATTATCATTATTATATTTAGGGGAAAGCTAAATCCTAAGGATGATACAGGCAATCGGTTCGATCCAGTCCCTTGGATTAAGAGTCCCTCAATAGGAGCTTCTGGGAACCTCCCTTGAGGATTATGGGTCATACAGTAGTCATTTTCTTGGGGAGGTGATAAATTCTTAGGGGTCGTCATGATTCACGAAATAATAATGATAATAATGAGCACAAGGCACAGTACTCGCCCCCATCTTGTTCCTCATCCTCATATCAGACATAAACAGAGATATACACCACAGCACCGTATCATCCTTTGCGGATGATACTAGGATCTGCATGAGGCTGTCATCTGCTGAGGACGCGGTTAACCTACAAGAAGATATAAACAAAGTTTTCCAGTGGGCAAAGGAAAACAATATGATGTTCAATGAGGACAAATTCCAACTACTCCGTTATGGAAAACTGGAGGAGATAATAACTAGAACAGAGTATACTACTGACTCCGGCCATACAATAGAGCGGAAAAATAATGTAAGGGACCTGGGAGTAGTAATGTCTGAGGATCTCACTTTCAAGGATCACAACAGTGCCACGATCACAAGTGCAAAGAAAATGATAGGATGGATAATGAGAACGTTCAAAACGAGAGATGCCAAGCCAATGATGATCCTTTTCAAATCACTTGTTCTCTCTAGGCTGGAATACTGCTGTACATTAACATCTCCATTCAAAGCAGGTGAAATTGCAGATCTAGAGAGTGTACAGAGATCCTTTACTGCACGTATAAGTTCTGTCAAGCACCTTCATTACTGGGAACGCTTGGAAGCACTTGACTTGTACTCGTTGGAACGCAGGAGAGAGATATATATCATAATCTACACTTGGAAAATCCTGGAAGGAATGGTCCCGAATCTGCACACACAAATCACTCCCTACGAAAGTAAAAGATTGGGCAGGCGTATCTGGACAGATACCTAAAGTCAGTGCCGAATCAGCCGGGCTGTGGCTCGTACGTTGGACTGCGTGCGGCCAGCAGTAACAGCCTGGTTGATCAGGCCCTGATCCACCGGGAGGCCTGGTCATGGACCAGGCCGCGGGGGCGTTGATCCCTGGAATAACCTCCAGGTAACAGGTGGGAATTGAACTCGCCGCGAGTTCAAATCCGACCTGTACCGTTAATATTAATATTAATATCTTTATTTACTACAAGTACATGTGCAAGGTATACAGTCCTAGCTGACATCAGTGACATACTATTATATAGAAAGCCGCTTGTTATGCAGAGCATTTCGGGCAAATTAGGTCAGTTTTGTCCCAGGATGCGACCCACACCAGTCGACTAACACCCCGGTACCCATTTTACTGATGGGGAACATAGACAACCGGTGTAAGGAAACACGCCCAATGTTTGCATTTGTGGTCAACAGTGGTGGCCCATGCTAACCTCCCTGTGGTATATAAATATACCTAATTGGATGAATCTTATTGTAGCCAGCTGGCCTGGAGTTTTACGACGCGCCCTGAGTTCAACCCCACCCGTTCCGTGGTTTCTTAGGGGGTATTACCCCCTAAGGAATGACACGTACTAGGTTTAATTTAAAAGACTCGTAAGGAACAAGATCTTAGACGCCGACGCTTATTGCTGTCACCAACACAGTGGAACATAATACAAAATTTAAAAAACACTGGCATACATGATACTCAACCAGGTAATATTTAACCTAACCTAACCTCATTGTCCACCTGACTTCATCTCAAGTCTCACGTGTAATTTTTCGAGTCACTGTCACTCGCACCCCACATTTTGCCTATATATTCTGTTATCTTCAACCTGTGTTAGAAGTGATCAAGGTCCCAGGACCGAAACATCTGCCAATAAATATACCCTACTGTTTGCTCACGTGTCTTTTTAAACAAATTTGTCGGTATCAAGTTACCAAGGTTTATACCACTAGGTTTAATCCGAGGAAAGGTAGTTAATTGCCTGACCAAAATATTTTCATAGTTACCCGTCCCTTTGATTATTATTATAATCTTGAAATAGCGTTAAACCCGTAAGGGTCATACAGTAACGCATGGGGAAATGGAAAGCAAAGTTGCAACCATGGAAAAAAGGGAAGATTGACCCAATTTCTTGGATCAACATTATAATAAACAAGAAGCTCTAAACCCATTAGGGTCATACAGCGCTGCAATCTTGGATCAAGAGCGCCTTTCTTGAGGGGGTACCCCTGTTTGAAAAGAGCGTAGTCATAAATAAATCGCCTGTACCACCCGGGTCTCAGTGTCAAGTTTGATGGTAGCTGTTAAGTCTCTTGAGACTACGAGCTACCATCAATTATTATAATCATGGGGGAGAGCTAAACCCGTAGGGATTATACAGCGTATGTTGGGGGGATGGAAGGTATTCAGGCTCAATTCAGGGAACCGGAGCACAGATCCAATTCCCTAGATTTAGAGCCCCTCACCAGCGTCAAGGAACCTCCCTTGAGGGGAGAGCTACCATCATACTTTGGCGTTTATGAAAATAATAATACCAAGTTTGATCGTGTTTTACAATATTGATGGGAAAGCTCCAGGCCCGTTGGGATACTTTATTATAATCATAACTAAGCGCTAAACCCACATGGGTCGTACAGCACTGGGGATCATGCTTGAATGAACTCAAAAGAACACTATTAATAGCTGTCAGTGCCTATGGAATAAAAGGTAGTCATGTTTGATCCGAGGAAGGGGAGCAACTCCTTCTGATGAATTATTATAATCAAGGGGAAGCGCTAAACCCGTAGGATTATACAGCGCCTGGGGGGAATGTGGAAGGCATTCAGGCTTAATTCGGGGAACTGGAGCACAGATCCAATTCCCTAAATCAAGAGCCCCTCACCAACATCAAGGAACCTTCCCTGAGGGGTCCTGATGAAGAGCTATTCACCAACATCCATCCACCTTATTGAATTATTATGTTTTGGGGGAAGCGCTAAACCCCTAGTCACAGTGCCTGAGTTATATTTGATCAAGGTTCCTGGTGTTCTCGATGGAAAGCTCCTCACCAATACACAATCATGACTTCATTGTCAAACAATTAATACTTGTATACAATACCTACCTGTCCTAAATATAATTTAAAACAAATGTTTTTAGTATGGAAACTTTTGTATAATAATAATTTAAGCGCTAAACGTGCATGCATCATACAGCGTCGAGTTTTGTATACAATAACAGGGAAGAAAAAAGCCGTATATAAATTAAAATGATTTATTTCTGAAAATCTTTTTTTTTTACAATATTTTCTCCGCTCAGGAAGCACATAATATTCTGAAAAGGAAAGATTACGTTCCATATTTATCTTATAATCTCAGGTACGATCATCATAAGATACTATTTTGCATATAACCAAAAACTTGCAACCGCTTTCTATTTATAGCTATTAATAAAGTTTTTGTATAACAAATATTATTTAAAAAAATAAACAAGGGGGAAGGCTAAGATCATGGGAACTTTGTACTCGCAAGGGCCTTGAATTCTGAAATCGCCAAATACACCACCACCACTTTTAATATTAACCATCATTAACTGAGCATGTTCTCGTGATTTATGTAAGCCATTTCAGAATTCTGGCCAAAATGTCTCGCAGCCATCAACAGGATATGTGTAGCAGACTTTCCAAGGGATACAAAAGTTACCCGCTCAGGTTGCTACGCTAAGACTGGTCAAATACATTATTTCTGAAAGGAGCTTCGGCCAATCCAATGCGTATTTACCTCGACAGCTTAAAATATGCACCTTTTAAAAGTCTAACCGTAAGACTAAAAGACATGTAATGACGAGTTTTAAACAAAAGAACAAAAAATGCACCACAAATTTTGATCCATACTGACTAAGCTTGCAATTTCCCGTAAAATCTGCACATAACTGATAAGAAAAATAAGACCTTTTTTAAGACAGTATAAGGATCAAAATAGCTCGCGATAAATAATGCACGAGCGTCTCTTTATACAGTATATATTTATAGATATATATATATATATCTATCACTGGGCGTTACAATATAAGCATATAATAGCGTCTGGGACATGTCCCAGGCGTTAATTCACAGCCAAGAAACGAACGCCCTGCTCTTTCTCTAGCTTTTATGAAAACTAGAGAACACACACATATATATTCATAAATTGGCATAACATCTTTCCTTTTCATAAAAATATATTTGGTACAAATTCACACTTAACTCCCACTTTAAACAGAACAGTACTGCATCATAATCGTTGCGTGGGAATTTCAGAATTTGACCTTAATGACTAGCTTCGAGATATGTCCGCGAGATTTCAAGAGTAATGAACGTACAAATTCATCCTTTGAAAAGTATAACCCTAGGATGGGAATACATCCAAATTCCGCCTTGGCAACAAATACTTAAGCGTTCCTCTTGTGTATTTACTATAAACTGCGTAACACACTCATATCTTTACAAAATAAACTGGAATTCTTTTCATGAGTTTGGCGGACTGGTATCTGGAAACTAGCAGTCTGACATCTTCCACACACTCGCGTACTTTAATCATGACATGCAGCATCCTAGAGCAACTTCAGATAAGTTTCTGTAGACAAGGGAAAAAAATACATAAACAATTACTATTCAGAGAGATCGACTTTGTATGTTCTGAAAGAAGTAAATCGTCCTTAGCTAATTAAAATATTTTGGCAAGTTCCCATACGAGCTCACGATGGCCACAAAGTTCACGTGAGCACAAACACTGTCTGCTTATTTATAGAGATCAATATTATTCACTGCATTTCACTTCGATGAACACTTGAACTCTTAACTGACACCATACATCAACCATGAGCCTGAGTTGTGTTCATCTCGTGGGCGATGTGATGCAGTAACAGGAATTCCACAGGGAGAAATGAACGTCGGTGGGCGTGACGCGACTTTTAGTGCCACCATTACTCGCACGGACCAAAATTAAATACAATGCGGGATCACAGTCAACGGGTGTGTAGTGCTGAACCTTCAAGGTGCTACGCTGCTGTAGTACTAGTCACCTCCCCCTCTGCTTCAGACTTGCCCGCCGTAACCTCGATGCTGATGGAGGATGAGGTTGGAGGATCAGCAGCCTCAGGACTATCACAAGAAACACCACTATCTGGCTGGCATTGGTCCACAGTGTTCCCTGAATGTATACAGTCCACACCAGACTCCTGTGGGGAGCTGCACACTTCTGTAGTGGCTGGAGAAGCATTTCCGGGCGTTGCTGCAACTTGAGAATTTTCGTGTTTAGATGCCGACTCCTCGTCCATCTCGCTGTCACTGCTAGAATCACTGCTGCTACTGCTGGAGTCGCTACTGGAGGATGACGATGATGACGATGAAGACCGGGTAAGGGATGTGCGGCGCAGTTCAAAGTTCTCCTCTCGTAGACGTCGGTTTTCAGATTCAAGATTGCTGATCTCTGACTGAAAGATGCTGATTTTCTGGGCTGTCTCAGAGTCGACGCGCAGTTCACCGGGTCCAACAGCATCATCGTCGTCTATTTCGTCGTTCTGCTGGAGACGATACCGATGACGAGCTCGGACGGCACGAAGCTGGCGTTCTAATAAATCCACTTTTTCCTCGAGTGCGAGGTACTCCTGAACCAGCTGCGCCTTCGTCATGGTGTCGAGGCGCTCTGCGTGAACATCCTCGTAAGCAGTCCAGAACTCCCGTGTGAGAAACTCCTCTTCGTCTTCTGGGGAAGAATAGAACTCGTTTGATTGATCTTCCGAGTCGAGGCTGAGCGAGGAGTCACGGTGCCTTCGAGGACGACCCACAATGTCTGTATCCTGCAGCTGGTCGTGTTCCGCCATCAGGAACTGGGTGGTGTTAAAGGGCGCAACTGGTTTCGTCCGAAGTCCATTCAGGCGGCAACGTTGACTGGGCCTCTTCCTCCGTCGGCGAGCCTTCTTGCTTTTCTTACTGGGTGGAGAATCACTCTCGCTCTCGGCGGTGCCCGACGGGCGACGGGTGCCCCTGTGAGGGCCACACAAGCTAGGAATGCTTAGGTTGTCCACAGCACCAGAATCCAACATGTTGACTCTAGGTGAAGGCAACAAAACTTCAATGGTCGTCATGTCACGTATCACAAACAACACTGGACGTTAGAGGTTACGGTAATAAGTGCGATATTTCCGTGTTCAAAGTTCGTCGCTGCCAAGCGCGTGGAGTACAATAGCTCGTATGTCCGAACGCGATCATAGCAGCCGAATGACTGTTTTCGAAGATGGTCTCGTTCCGACGACCACCGGACGCGCACCGCAAGCTCCGCAAGCTAAAGTAGTACGCATCTATATTTATAAAATTCCTTAAAAACTATTTGTAATATTACTTTAAATATACAAGTAACGATATACTTAATAAAAACGATGTATATTAAACATATTTAATTATTTTTCAGTAATATAATAATAATAATCCACTACCGCGGAACAATACCGTGACGTCACACTGCTGCCACCCTCAGTGCTGTATCGAGTGAAGAGGTAGAGCGACGCCATTTTGGTGTGGTGGCAATATGAGTGACTTTTTTGGCCAACTATCGAAAATTAGTGTTAAATAAAATGAATGAAGACCTACAGCAACATGTGAAGTGCATCGGGAAATACCAACAGCGGCTGTCTTCGCAAGAGGGAAGTGTCATTCCCACAGAAGCAGCGATCAGCTGTTGTCGGCTGCCCAGCCTACCTGACCGATGCACTAGTCAAGTTGTTTTATTTATCCCATCCCTGTCCTTATTACGCTGTTCCTATTATAATACATGCTTAGAGATGGATAAAACCACTCGGTGAGCGAGATATGTGTAAGGATATTATTCTTATGTTTGATATTGGTGTGCTTCCTTTGTTCGCGAAATTTAGTTCTAATAAAGATGGCGCTTGCGCATTATATCTTTCCACTGAACATTGGCGACGCAAATACTTCGCGAACTGTTACTGCTATGTTGTAAACTCAACTATTGTAAGTGCATCACTGAAAATGTTTTCAATTAAAAGTATGTTATTGTTTTCGTAGCGAGTAATGTAAGAATATTGGAACATTTGTGGGATGCTGTGAAGCAGACCCTTGAAGGGAGGTAGGTGCCTTGATGCTGTGATGGGCTCTTGATTCAAAGAATTTGAACCGTTCTTCCTTTCCTGAATCGAATCTGATTGCCTCCTTCTCCTGGCGTTATGACTTAGGAATTTAGTGCTCCCTCCCATGAATGTAATGATAGTAAGGGAAGCAGAGCTATGTGCATATTTCCATCACAGGCCTACGTTATAGGCTCTGCTATCAACAGTGCACCTTGTGGCTTAGCGCTTCTTTTTGATTATAATAATAATATCAACAGTGCAGGGGTGTTGCACCTTGCATCATAAATCTAGGAAATAATTAAATCTTAAAAAATACGTTGTGATGAGGGCATTTTTTTTTTTTAATGGATGATTGGGTTAGTGCGTATTGTGTGAAGTCAGATGAGGTAACTGTATAGCAACATTGTATAACTAAATCATTATATGTGTTTTAAGATTATAAAATGTACACAAAATAACTACTTATAGCTATATCATGGAATATAAGCTGAGTGGGAACCGGAGTGAACCAGATTTGTAGACAAGTGAGGGAGCTGTTGCCACACCGCTGTAATGGCTGCCACATCACACTTATAGTCTGGTCGCCCACCTCTATATCACATCTTTACTGATTCATATTATACATTATTCCTTCTTGTTACCGGCAAAAACAAAATGGTTTTGGTATTTAACGATTAGTATTTTTTATCCATAGGTAACTGGCATTCTTTCCTCCTAGGATAATGTATTTTTTTTGTGGACGTGGCAATCGAAGGTGATTAAATATAAACACTATAATTAAGATTGCAACTCGGTAAAGGCAATACCATAAATTCTGAATGAAGTTAGGCCCCGATAAACTCGTCGTTATTGATGAAGGGAATTTAAAATGAGTTAGAAAACTGGACCTGGAAGCTTTTAAATGTTTGGTTCCCCACATGTGAGGTTTCTTGATGCTGGTAAGGGACTTGATTCAAGCAATTGGACACACAAATAACCCGCACATAAAAGACAGAAGCTTACGACGACGTTTCGGTCCGACTTGGACCATTGACAAAGTCACACTAACAGAGGAGGAGCAGAACGGCTATATATAGGCAGGAAGAGGTGGAGGTAGTAGTAGTGGTAGAAGTAGTAGTAGTAGTAGTACTACTACTACTACTTCTACCACTACTACTACCTCCACCTCTTCCTGCCTATATATAGCCGTTCTGCTCCTCCTCTGTTAGTGTGACTTTGTCAATGGTCCAAGTCGGACCGAAACGTCGTCGTAAGCTTCTGTCTTTTATGTGCGGGTTATTTGTGTATCGTTCCAGTCACGGTATTGTGCCTTTTTGTTATTTATCAATTGGACACCTTCTCCCCTTCCTTGGATCGAATCTAGTTGCCTCCTATTCTCCAGGCGTTGTATGACTGGTTCCAGCGATTCCTCTAGATATATAATAATGTCTTGTAAAAATATCAGTAAAATGCGGTATATAATTTTTAAAAATAACATACTACAACGTGCACGCTTTTTCGTATGTGTATTTGGGCACATGGCACCGGAAGTGAATTGATAGTTAAAAGAAGTACTGTGCCGTAGTTCCGCAGTTCTGCGGCCCTCCTCCGCTCCCTCACCCCCTCCGGGCCCCTCTCCTTTCTCCCCCATTCTACTACCACCTCTTCATTCAACCCCACAAGAACCCCAATGGAAATGGGTCACATCGTTTTGACTAATGGATTGTTCAAGGCTCAGTATAATTTACTATGCAAAACTGTTTTTAACGTTTAAAATTGTAAGGCCTCAATAAACACAATCTCAGTGTCGCGTTCGATTCCTTGGCATGGAGAAACAGGGGCAAGCTTACACCCCTGCCACCTAGCAGTAAAAAGTAGATTTCTCCAGGTACTGTTTGACCCCTACGAGTTTAGTACTTCATCCTAAGTATAAATAATATAGTAAAAATAGGTACGTTTTTAGCTGAGTTGTGGGTCTCATCCAGGAATTTTTTTTTAAAAAGTTGAGGCTTGATGGATGTCATAGTGTACAAGAAAACACTGGTCCTGTGTGTAAGAAACTTCAGTACCTGCTGGGAGTCTTCAAATGCTGGATTAAAAATACCAGTGTACCTAATGTTAATTATAAAAAAAAATAGGTGTAACCCAGCCTGATCTAGTCCCAGTCTGTCAAAATCCCTGAAAGGGTGGAACTTCGATGATGGTGAAAAGCTCTTGATCCAAGGAGTTGCTTTAACTGTAGATCAACCCTGTTTACAATCCATTCCCTAAGTGATATATAACCTACGGGTTTAGTGCTTCCCCTGAATATGCTGATACTATTATTCTTGTTTAAATAAAATAATAAATACATCTGATTCATACATGGATCGGGGGCTTTGACCCCCCGAAACCCTCTTCAGGTATTATCCCCAGTCCTCCCTTCGTCCCATTTAACCTACCCATACCGTGAGGCCCCAGATAACCCTTACCTACCTGGAGGCTGTCTTGGGGTCATTGCCCCCCTCGACCCGGTCCTCCACCAGACCTCTCCGTACAATACATCTCTCTGCCTTCATCTCCCGTCCACTACTATCGTTATCACATCACCCCCACTTATCTCATCTCCCGTACTAAACTAGATCTTCACTTGAGGTGCCGCATAGCTACTAGTGAGAACGTTCGTCTAACAATCGCAAGAACCCGAGTTCGACTCTCTGGTGTTATAAAAAATATATTTATACCCCTCCGTCCCCTCAAGGAAGGTTCCTTGATGTTGGTGAGGGGCTCTTGATTTAGGGAATTGGATCTGTGCTCCAGTTCCCCGAATTAAGCCTGAATGCCTTCCACATCCCCCCCCCCCAGGCGCTGTATAATCCTCCGGGTTTAGCGCTTCCCCCTTGATTATAATAATAATAATAATATACCCCTCCGTAGCTGTATAGCCCTTGTGGCTTAGCGCTTCTTTTTGATTATAATAATAATATACCCCTCCGCACCTGACCATGATTAGGAACTTTTGTGCTAGCCGACTGTTGTAATCCCAACAATAATTTTAGAAAACTGTAGCTCTTCTGGAATGTCATATGTTGTGTAAGAAAACACTCAGTAACTGCTGGAAGTGCCCAAGTTTTAGGTAATAGGTGTTCGTGTACTGAATGATGATAAGTAAAAAATCACTATTTATTTATTTATTTATTTATTTATAATTTGAGCACACTTACAGAGGTACAAAAAAAAAATACAGATAAGAGCAGCATGCCAAAGCCACTTATACTATGCATAGCATTACGGGCTGGCTTAAAATTAACTTAAGATTAACTAAGCAATGATGAAATCAGTGAAAAACATTAATGTAAACTGATTACTATAAAGCACAAGTGAGTATTACAAAGACAGGTCATATGGTTGCATGCATTGTTGTAAATTCAGTAGAATGGAGTATTCTGTTAGGTAGTGAATTTAAAAAATAATAAAGTTAGATTGGGTTTTAGGTTTAACATTTATGTGATATAATTGTGAGAAACATTTAAGATATACAATTTATAAGGTTCAGTTATTCAGTATTTATTTGGTTTTGGGTGAGTAAGTGATCTTTGAGAAGAGACTTGAATTTATAAACAGGTAGTGTTTCTTTTATATTAACAGGTAATGAATTCCAGATTTTAGGGCCTTTTATGTGCATTGAGTTTTTGCATAGCGTGAGATGGACACGAGGAATATCAAAGAGTGATCTGTGCCTTGTGTTATGGTCATGTGTTCTGTTGAGGTTGGCAAGGAGATGTTTGAGGGGAGGGTTAATATCAGAGTTGAGTGTTCTATGTATGTAATAGGTGCAGTAATAAGTATGGATGTTTTGTATGGTGAGTAGGTTGAGTGTATTGAATATTGGTGGAGTGTGCTGCCTGTAGTGAGAATTTGTTATCATTCTAACTGCAGCCTTTTGTTGGGTAATTAGTGGTCTGAGATGGTTACTTGTTGTTGAGCCCCATGCACAAATTCCATAGGTGAGATAGGGGTAAATAAGAGAGTGATATAGGGCCAGGAGGGCTGACTGTGGAGCATAGTACCGTATCTTCGATAGTATGCCTACAGTCTTGGAAATTTTCTTAGAAATTTGTTGTATATGTGTATGAAATTTGAGTCTATTATCAAGGTGGATTCCTAAGAATTTTCCCTCTGTTAGCTTTGTGATA